GAAATAAAATTATATCTCGAACCAAGAGTTTTACGAAAATTCGAAATTCCTCCTGTCACTACCCCTTCTTGAACTGGATATCGAAACTACACGATACACAAAAGCCCCTACTCGAAAATCTACCCCTCCTATCGACTAGGTCTCGATAGTTACGTGAAGTTCCAAAGAACGTGGAGAATCATGCAGAATTTTGGCTTTCTTGGGCTTAATACCTGCCTTCCACGCCCGATAATCTACAGTCTAAACGTGTTACTTCACTTCTCTTACCTGTGGACACCTAGTATTTGATAAGGGTCGATTTTCCCGCTTCTCAGCCTCTTTAAAACGCTCCAAATACACACCCAGACACCCCGACGTGGGTACATGTTTGTTCCCACGCACCCCCGGGCGGGGAGAGGCAACAAAACGTGTCCCAGGGCATGCCCCGGGGGTGTCTGGCGGAGAGCGAAAAGCTCGTGCTCCCCCAGCGGGGGAATGTTTTTCCCTCCATCTCTCTCCCTCTCCAGCCACAAAATTCCCTCCTTGTTACGCCACCACGAGCACACAATGGTCATTGCCGGGCCGATTCTCGACGCGCTGCGCACCCGGGAGAGATGCAAATTTCAGGTGGCACAAAGCTTTGAGCCGGACGGCAGGAGGAGGAGAGAGGATGGGATGGGATGGGGATACCGAGGGCTTTCAGCCGTTTTTCTCTCCCGCCATTGCGAGTTTTCCCCGATTTTTGTTTCTGGAGAATTGCAGTCAGGGGGGAGGATGAGGATGAGGCTGAAGGGGTGTGCCCGGCGGTCCTTTGTTCCGTATGGTCGTTGGGGGTTTTTGGTGAAGTTGTAGAGGGATGGATTTGGTAAATTTTGGGAGTGGAAAAGCCTGAAAACGACCGGGAACGGTGGATAAATTTAATGCTGATAGGGATTTTGAAATCTGGAAGGCGTAAAAAGTGGTAAAATCATGAAAACTCGGTTTTTCCACTCGAGTCAAAACGCAAACAAATCGGAAATTCCCTGTTAACTTATTTCTAGGTTCTAGATTCAAGTGTCGTCCTCCCTTTAAAATTCCATGGAGCTGCCAACATCGACTCTTTTTGTCGACTAGGTGAGCCAAACCAGACCAAAGGGTTTTTAAGCCGACTAAGAGCCCTTAAAACGTGGCCTAACCGCTAAAATCGAGCCGCTCTTCAAGTGTCATTAAGCGCGTCCTGTAGTTGTCGAGACCCAGTGTCCTCAGAGGTTATTCTCGGCTTCGTGGTTCCTTTAAAGCAGGATATACATCTGGAATAACCGGCAATTGATACTTTTTTGGCCATAGCTTCCCAATCAAAAGTTTCCCGCATTCCCCGCCAGCCAAATTGGGCCCGGTTTCGATCTACTAAAACTTTTTTTGCGGCACTGCCATTTTCGCGTCGAGAGCCCGAGGTCAGCCCGTGAGCTGGAACCTAGGTTGGCAGAGCGGCGAGGGCCCCCGATCCTCCACCCCCTCGCCCTCAACCGGTTTCCCGAATTTCCCCCATTTCACTATTTCACCGAGGCCCCCTCACTACTCAAAATCGCTCTCCCTCCCCTCTTCTACCTGACGGTCCCGCCGAGAGCACGGGACTGCCGGCTGGGCAGCCAGCCCCTGCCTCGGGAAAAACACAGTACCCATGCAAAATATTAAAAGTGGGGACCGGCTAGAATATGGGATGGAGAGACGTAAAAGCATAAGGAGCCAAATAGAATTTAACTTCGAGGTTTACGTTTTTTGAGTCGTCTATTTTCTGTTACTGGAGAAAAGTTGGCTTTGCAGCCCCTTTAAAGAGCAGCAATTGTCGATAAAGTTGAAACTGATTGTAAAAATGGAAATTGCCGTAAAATGACTTGCTCTCTCTCCCTCTCTCTTTCTCGCTCTCTCTCTCTCGTTCTCCCTCTCTTTCTCTCTCGCTCACTCCCGTTCTCTCTTTCTCTTTGTGTGTCTCTCTTTCTTCTCACGCTCGCTCCCTTTTTCTCTCTATGTATCTTTCTCACCCCCCTCTCTCTCTTTCTCTCTCTCTCAACCCGCACCTCGTTTTTTATTTTTCAAATTCCTATGGTACTGTATCCGCAGTCAAAAATTACCAAAAACGGGCTCTAAGAAAACGCGGGAAAACCCAAATATCTTACAAAAAACTGCGATAGTTCGCAAGAAAATTAATTGATCATCATTTTTCAGTTGCAACGACGACTATCACCTCCGGAGTCTCTCAACGCCTCGATTCTCGGCGGAATTTTGCGGAGGTAAGGAAATATGTGGGATTTCTCGAGCCACCGTACGACGCCCACACGGATTTCTGACGTGTTGACGTGTTACATTGGGCGACCCAGAAAAACAGCGCAAAGTCAGAACCCCCCGCGCCCTATTGACCCCTGGGGCCCAAAAACAAAAATGGGGCCCAGATCCGGCGGGGCCCGCGGGCAAATAGATCCCCGGAAAAGCGCCGAAAAAGGACGGTATTTTCGTTGATTTCGTTTGTTGGGCTGTTTGTATGTGGGAATATTGTTGACCCGGCTGGGGGTCCACCTTTCAACATTCTATAGAAAAGGGTGGTATTGTATGGTATTGTAGGGGAGGGAAATATGTATTTGGAAAGATGCCAAATAAGGGAAGAAAAGCGGGGTGAAGCCTTATTTTGGAGCATTAGGTTTCTTGCTTGGAAGTTGGAGCAGGGAGTGAAAAAATTCGAGGAACCTAAAAAGCTATAAAATTGTGACGCGCTATTTTAGACCACTGTCTACCAGGACTTTCTAAAGACTTTGAAGCCAAAAAAATCCAATTTTGGGTCTCAGCACGCTACCCTAGTCGTTGAATAATCGTCATTTTGAGGCGTAATACAGGTTATTAGCGTCTTACTAATATTTCTAAAACCAATTTCTCGATCAAGTATACCTCAGGCGTTTCATGACTCAATGACACGTTGCTTTTTAGTCTCGCCACGGCGCTACCGTACCCAAAACCCCCGGCCTGTTTACCATTTTCCCCGCGGCTTTTGCCCCCCATGACCCGCCTGAGGTCCAGAAAAAGTTCACGTAACCTCCCCCCAGGCTCTCTCCAGCCCTTCTGCCCCCCATTTTTCCCCGTTTTCCACCCCGTTTTCCACGTCGTCAATATTTGACATGGCGGCCACTCTCTCTCTCTCTCTCTCTCTCTCTCTCGTCGCCGTGGGGCCCCTGGCTGGGCCCTTCGGGCGCTCTGAATGCGCGCGGAGCGTTTGTCCGTCAGTCTTTTCAGTGTGGTCTGTTCCGAGGCGCGCCGTTGGTCTGTTTGCCGGCCGCCTTGCTATCTCTCGCCCTCTCCGACCGTCTCTCTCTTTCTATGGCCAAGCAAACAGTGTCTCCAAAAAGCCCTCTAGGACCCCCACGGGCCAGGCGGGGAGGGGACGACGGCAGGGTTTCTGCCGTCGGGAAGGCTTGCCGTCTGGTTGACTGCGAGGGAAATTTTTGGTAGGGACGGGTTGCGAATTGAAAGGAATTGGGAAGCACGAGAACCGATTCTTTCGGTGGACTAGATCTAGACAAACGCGCGATAATACCAAAAACTAGTTTTACCGAATAAAAGCTTTTTTCTAACATCAGAATTCCCGTTAAATCTAATTTAAGGTGTCACCCATGGCCAGGGGCGTAGCCAGAAAAAAATTTCGGGGGGGCCCCCAAAAAATTTTTCCAAAAACTCAAAACATTAACGAGAAAACAGCGCCGCAGGCAAAAATTTTTGAAAAAAGGTTACATAGCACTACAAATAGCCTTAAAAACGTAAAAAAATAGCGCCGCAGGCAGAAAAATTTTTGAGAAAATGAAAATCATAAGGGTCCCCCCTTATGAAATTTTCGGGCCCCGGCCGATTTCGGGGGGGGGCCCCGGGTCCCCGGGGCCGGTATTACGCTACGTCCCTGCCCATGGCTGTCGAGACCTAGTCGGTTTGCAGTGTCGATTCTGAGCTTTTCTACTTTTTTTTAAAGAGGCCGGAAAGCAAGAAAAAACACAAAACAGGTTTTCTATCTGGTCTGGAATCCGCGGTTAGACGTCGTAAAACGGTAGCTTGAGGTAATTGCGGGTATAATCTCGTCCTCGGTGCCACCACACCTTTAAAATGGTCCCTTATAATCCTGTAAAAGTATTCCCTAATGCCACTCCTTTAGAATTGTATTTTATATCTTTGTCTTAGTGTCACGACCCCTTTAAAAGCACCTGATAACCTCATAGGTACGTTTCTTGGTGTCCTCCCCCCTTTAAACTCTTTCACAACCTACCGCCCTGTCAAGTTAGATCAATCTTGACCCGAGGGGCAGTGCCCAATGGGACACCTGCAACTTTCTTCCCTTTCTCCCAAAGAAATGCCCATGTGACTCAGATTTCGGAAAACAGCAGCAGCCAGCGCACGCGGGCCTGCCTCGCGCACACACATTTTTTGAGACAAAGAAACTGTGTTGGGATGAGGGGAGCCGGTAGAGCTACGAGGCGCGACTATGCACACCCGCAGGGGCCTTTTGTGGTGCCGGGTTTTTTTGGAGGTGGGGGATTTAGTTTTTCGAGGGAAATTTGGGGTAGCAAAAAAAAAGAGAGGGGGCGGGTGAGAGCGAGAGAGAGAGATAAGGAGAGAGGGAAACTAAAGTGCACGAGCGCCTGCTGGGAACGGAAGGAACTGGGAAATTTTACAGTTTTTGTCCCCCGGCACTCAACTCAAGGTCTTCGTGCCCTGAAACTATAAAAGCCAAAAATTCCTTTCTTCCGGAATTTTCCCAAACCTAAGGATCATTGTTTCAAGGAGCATAGAAGCCAAGAAGCCTTCTGAAAGATTAGTCGATACGTCAAGAATTTTTAAGAAAACCTGAAATATCTTTGTTGATTTTCCAAAAAAACGGCTTGAAGACATCCTTGGCTTGCTTTACGCGTCGTTAACTAAATTTGTAAAATTAGCTTTTGAATTCAACCAAAAATCACTACTTTTGCCATTTTTTTCTTGACTTTCCAGATCATCACCCCTTTTTGTATATGACGCATATCCGCCCGGGACAATTGATTCGATGGCATTTCACTGAACAGCAGGCCCCCGCGTCCCAGCCCCGCGTTTTCAGGTCGTCCATGCCAAAAAACGCGAAAAGGGGGCCCCCGCGAATAGCTCTCGGCGCCAATAGATTTCTATGGCGGTCGGGGCGGGAAAGGGGGGGGGAGGGGGGCACCGTTTTTGGGCACAGGCATACCGCGAAAACGAGACGGAGAGCTGCACAAACAGACAAACAAAACGCCCGAAAGGCACAGCACCTGGGCCATGCCAACGGCACACAACGATTTTCCGGGGGGAAAATGTGAGAAATCAGGGTTGAAGGGGTTGAAAAAGGGGACAGGGGTTGGGTTGAAATTCGCGGGTTTGAAGGCGAGCGTTACAGCAGCCTGACATTTTTTTTTAAAGATTCAGGCACGGCATCGTCAAAGATTTTACATGCCCTATTGACTGTGAAAACGGTCGCGTCAAGGTCACATTTCTTACAGCGCGAAATTGAGAAGGAAACCGCTCCAAAAAAATACCATAACATCGTAACTCCCTGACTTGCTGTTCCCTTTAAAACGTGCTAAGCCACTCAAAAACGTAACTTAAGTTATATTTCCGGAGCCAAAATCATGTGAAAACGGTCGTGTCGCCGCAAAATCCCAGAATTTCTGTTCCAAAAAATTTGTAATACTGGCTCCCCAGTCTAAAGAGATTAAAAAGATTAAAACTATAAGATGACATAACCAAATCCTCATTTCCAGAGCGAAATCCAAGAATGGCGGCAAATCCCTGCGAGACTCCCTTGAGAAGATCGGCCTCTCGCTACCGGCCGGACGAAGAAAGGCCGGAAGCGTCACCCTCCTGACCTCGCTTGTCGAAGGTGAGTTTGTGACTTTCACATCAATGACCGTTTCCCTCCGTAGGAGAAGCTCTCCACTTGGCGCGCGACTTTACGTACGTCTGTAACGCTGAATTCCCCGCCGCCGCCCTGGCCGATCACAGCACGAGGAGAAGTGATGAGGAGCGAGAGACCCGGATAGAGCAGCTACGACATGCCAAGTACGTCGTTCTAGATTTGTGGAACACGATGAGCACCTACTGGCGGTGTTTCCAGCCTTCTCTAGAAGGGCAAACTAGCCGTGATTTTTGAGGACATCCATAATCTAGAACTTTGTTAGAAACACCATTTCAGAACCATCCTCCGCGAGTTCACCGAACTGCTCCAGTCCGACCGGTCGCCGATGCAGAACAACCAGCCGGACTCGCTACTTGATAATGGTACCCAGGAAGCCCTCACCGGCTTCTCCCTATCAACACACGGTTTCGGAACACCCGCTGTCTTGGCAGCGATGAACTGCTTGCAAAAGTGGGTTTTTCAAAAAAGCTGGTGCGGCTTGATACATAATCCTGCATTTATACAAACTCTCCAATTATGAAGCAGTGCATCATCTAGCAATTTCAGATATCTCGCCGAGTGCATCGACCGAGTCAGCGAGCCCGAACCTGCGCAATCAACCCCCGTTGGCCCGGCCGTTTCCGGCCTGGACCTCTCCATCTTCCAGTCCAACCCGACGTTGGCCTCGATCCTCCAGGCCGAGCTGCTGAAGCTGAACAACCTCCAGAATACAAAATTCTAGTTGATGTACATTTTTAGAATTTTCCCTTAATTCACCCGGTTCTGTCCTGATTCTAGAACGGCGAAAATGGCAAAAAGGGTTGATTCTAGCTCATAAAAGTTTAAATAGCTTAAAAGACCCTTCTCGTCATTTGCTATTTCGCGCCCCCGATTCTACCGTACCGGTCCCAGATTGTACGATCAAAAAAGAAATACTGTACCCAATCAAAAACCCACCCAAGCCCAGACATCTTTCAAAAACCCCGAAACTAAGCCCCATTCACTTCCTATCGATCCTTCCACTTCCGATGTGTGATATTCTAAATTTTACGATTTTTTTCACTTACCGTACACTTCTACACCTCGCTTTTCACTGCAGATTCTGGCTCCCGAGCAACCCGGTGTGTGATTTCTATTTTGCAGCTATTTTCTTCTTTTGCTTGGCTTTATGTGTCACAAAATGTAAATTTTCACCCCGAAAAATCCCTATATTGTCCAGCCCGTGTCTTGTCAGCCCCGGTAGACGTTTTCTGCGCTTTAGAAAATGCGTTAGTCCGCAGAAAACTAGCGAAAAATTAGCTGGAATCGTTTTGGAAAAATGCCAAGTGTTGAAAAGGCAAAATTTTATGCATTTGCATTGTTTATATCCAAAATAACAATTATTTTAGCATTTTTTAGAAGAACCTAAAACTTGGCAAATTTCCAAATTGAAATAGTCCAAAAACAACACCTAATAATGATATTCCCCAAACGCCCCACACCTCCAAATTTGTGAATGTACATAAACGTGTATACGATTTTTGGGTCACCAGGAAATCCTGCTAAAATCTGTACTTCCTACAGTAATCCAAGACCCAAAAATTCAATCCCGAACACTTCGTATTCGCTAGCGTAGTCTAATTTGTCAGAATCCAAAAAACCCAGCTTCCCCGCCCTGTCAGGTACCGCATTTGTGCGCCGGCTTCACGTTTTTCCGCGATTGCGCCTTTGAATTTACACAAAATCCCGTGCTTTTTGTAATAACAAAACCCAAATTGGCTTTCCACCCCGTCGCCGCCAACGGCTGCTTTACAAAAGTATTTTTTCGATTTGTGACCCCTGCACATTTCCTGGTTTTTCTTACCTGTGCTGGCAAAGAGAATAAAAAATTTATTGGACAGCTATGCAAACAGGTAAAGTACACAAATGCAATAAGCAGTACGAACAAGTACAAAGGCATCAGTCTACTCGCTAATTATGTTAACCAAATCGATAATCCTACCTTATATAATTTTGGCGCGTATGTGTGTGTGTGTGTGTTGATGTCACTTTAGAGGCCCGATTTGCGGGCCTTCCCGTGTCCAAAATGCCTTAATTCTCCGTCACCCGGGGGAATCGACCCTTCTGTTTCCGTTCTCAGAATTTCCATAAAATACAAGTTTACAAGGTTAAAGCCGATTTTATTGATTTTTGGGGGTCCGGGAGGGCTACTTGGTATAATGTGAAAAAATACAAATATCCTCATTCTTGCGAGTTGCACACGCGCGTGTGGTGGGGGGGGGAGTTCCCAGCTATCGGAAAGTCAAATTTCTCATAGCGGTTCCAGCGCCCAAGGACGGAAGGTTGTGGGCGCTGGTTTCAGATAAATTTGACAGAACCCGAAGGAGATGGGTCCATGTAAAATTTGACGATTACGGATGCAAAGCTATTTCCTTTGATGTTTTGGCAAGCATAAATTGTTAGAATCGGTGGGATCGCCAGCTCTGGTATTATCAACCACACCAAGCGAAACAGCGGCCAAGAAGAAAGCGCGCGCGTTCAAAATTTCTACCCTTACGCCCGGTATCATCATCGAAAAAAGCCGATTCGACCCAAGGATACCACGCTAGCACTTCAAAACAAGCTTTTTAGAACCTTTTAAAAATTGTTTCGTACCTGTAATATTCACGCTCCCTTGTTTTGCCTGAAGCTTAATTCGTTAAAGCGATTAATAGGCTTCCTATCCATGCAGTCTATACTAACTTCCAGATTTACCCATTCTATGGATCTCCTAAAACTTGCAAATTTTCAGGTGATGGACCCTCGGGAGGCAACACACTTGAACTGTCCGAAATGCCAGCGGATGTACTTAGCCAGTGCGGATCGAATGCCATGCTACACCTCTGAAGGCAAATTGGGATGTCGCACTTGCATTGTGGAAGGCGCACAGATGCCCTCATTTATTAGCGAAGTCATCGAGATGAAAATCGAGCATCAAGCACCTGCGGCCGCCACGTTCGTGCTTCGCCCCAAATCTTGCCCAGCGCCGCTTGGATGTAGCTTTTGCAAGACGTCAATGGAGCTGGCGCACGTATTCCTTTGTGGCCATCGAGGATGTGCGGAATGCGTATCTTCTGGCAAAACGCCCAGATGCAATGACTGCGGCCAGCCGGAGGCCCAGGCAGGCAGCGATCTTCTAAAATTCTATGAAAAGTATCTGCGCTGGAGCGTGCAAAATATTATAATGGCGCTCTCTAACGCCGAGCAACATGCAAACCTCGACAAGCGATCGTCGTGCCGCAAGCAAATTGAGTGGATTCAGCAGTTGGGCGAAGGACAGATGGTCCGCTTTAGGCCCTTAGACAAAGAGGAAATTCCAGAGCTGCAGCGGAAATGTGAACAATGTGCGAAGAAGGATGACATTGAATTCTTTTTCCGGTGCAATAATTGTCAACAGACAATATGTGGAGCGTGCTGTGTGAAATTTCATAAAACACATGAGACGCCAGAACTAGCGCACGTTGAATTGAAAAAGCTGAGCGAAGAAACGGCGGTTGCGGTGAAAGGGATATGCTCGGGATATGCCGGCAACCTGTCCGGGCTACACCTATATACAAGCGAAGCATTTAAGTCGGTTGTGGCGGCTGAAGAAAAGGCACTGGCACTCATTGCCAAGCAAAGCATATACGAAAGTGGCCAGGCGGTCGCTGAAGAAATTAGGGCAACTGCGCAAAGTGTTGAACAATTGTGCGAAGAATATATACCGCCAATACGAATTTTTAACGACAAGCTGATGGACGCCAGTGATCGACTTGCGACGGTTTTGTCTAGTTGTGTGCCCAAATAAACTCTCAATAAAATAACCCCTACAAAGCTCAAAATTTCGTTAACACCACCATGTCTTCCATCGAATAAATATCTAATTTGAGTTTTGAGATAGCATTTTGTTTTTAAATGCATGGCACAGCAAAGAGCAGATGAGATGTTGAGTGGTTGATCACGCAGTATCGTCACCCGGACAATAGATATCGGGAAATAGTGCCAGGCGTCAAAGCTATTTTTTGGGCACGTGGTTCTTGAAAAATTGTCGTAAAAGGGTCGGGGAAATGTCTCAAGTGGCGGCTTATCAGCTTGCCTCTTACTATGGGCGTGCGTGCTTCAATTATAATTTAAACCACGACACGCGTCTCGGAGAGGGCCCAACGCCGCCCTCTCTCACGCTATTTCCGTCTCTCTCTCTCGTCTTCTTTCTCTCGCTCTCTCTGACTCTCTCGCTCTCTCTCTCTCTCTCTCGCTCGGTCTCGCCATTCCTTTCTCATAATAAAAACGGATTCCTGAGATTTCGGTTATTTTAGTTCCTCATCGTCATAGAAACTGGCTCGATGTTGTTGATGAGACCGACTTTCTTGCACTGTTCAAGATGCACCGCCAGATACGGGTCAGAAGAAACCACCCGGCCATATTTCCGCATCGATGACGGCCGATTGGGATGCGGAAGCTGCCTGGAACAAGGCGGAGAGGCATGGCCCCACTTTATCGTCGACCTGGGAATGGGCTCTGATATTTCGTGGCCCCAGTGGATCATCGTTAGCAAGCAGCTGAAGCCGCTAGGCTGTAATTTCTGCAAGAGCTCGGCCAGCATCCGGTATATATTTCAGTGTGCTCATCGAGCATGCCAAAGTTGCTCATCGCAAACGGAGAACCCGACATGCGCAAAGTGTATGAAAGGACTCGCCAAGCCCAAAAGCGACATCCTATGGTTTTACCGCGAGTATCTCAGATCGGCCCTAAAGCTCGCTGAGCGCCACCCAGCCGAGCAGGATGTCGGTGGAGCCACACGTCTTGTTGAACAACTCGAAATGATTGCAACTTTGAACAATGGAATGGGCAAGAAAGCAGCACATTCGTGTTCGACGCTTTCCATTGGCCTCGATGAGCTGGAGCTCGATCCAAGGAGAACATGCGAGACATGTTTTAGGGAAGAAGACATTGAGTTCTTCTTCTGGTGCAATGATTGTCGACAAATTTTATGTGGAGCTTGCGGGCTGAAATTGCATAAGAAGCACGATACCCCCGAATTAGTAGGAATCGAGCTGGAAAAGCTGGGAAGTAGGACGAAGATCGAGTTAAAAGGGCTGTGTGAAGGGTATGTGCGGAATCTTTCCGGGTTGCATCTATGGACAAAAGAAGGCTTTGCGTCACTCATGGCTGCCGAGGAAAAGGCACTGGAGCTGATCGCCAAGCAAGGCACCTTTGAAAAAGGAAAGGAGCTGACAGAAGAATTGAGGAAAACGGCGCAAGCATTTGAGAGGGATTGCGAAGAATATATTCCGGCGGTTCGAATCTTCAACGACAAGCTCGTCGATGCAAGGGAGAAGCTTGCACAGCTTTCAGTTGATTTTTTGCATGAATAAATATTGTGCGATTTTGCGATTTCAGGAATAAAATCAATATTAATGCATTATTAACAATTCGCACACATATTTAAAAAATTTTAGCACGCTGACGTGTTTTTCAGAACACCGCTTGTAAAAGCTATTCCAGTCAGAGAATCAGCTCGCGGTCGGCGATCGCCTTATCGATTCCGCGCTGCTCTCGTAAAAATTTTTTGACGACAGAAAATAGGGGGCTTATAGGCGGTTATTGAGAGCTAATGTCATAAGTGGCGGGCATTGTTGGCTACACTTAATCTAAGTTAAGCTATTTTTCGTCACTTTTTGTTCTGTTTTATTCCGTTACCAGCGCCCAAAACCCGCTTCGCGGGCCTTGGGCGCTGGGTTG